GTATCTGTTATTGTGCGCGCGTTCCGTTCCGCGAGGGTTTTAGAGAACTCGGCCATCATTGTACGCGCGCGGGGCGATTCCGAATGGAAATAAAAACCGTTTCCCCCGCGAATAACAATAATAATAATAATATTATCATACGGCAAATTGTGCATAATGTACGACTGCACAATATGAACTTGCGGTCGGCATAGGAGTCCCCGCCGGATAACTGGATTGTCGCAGCTATTCGGCGCGACCCTTTTCGGGTGATCGCGCGATCGGCCCCGGATCGCCGTCCGCCGCCGGTGACGAACAACGCGTTCCGCGGGGGTCATTATTTGCATTATGTTATTTCTGTTTGTTTGCGTTTCGCGTTTGTAATATCCGACGCGGGAATTCGATACTTTTCCGCGATGCGTGTCGCGATATAACGTTACACGCACGCACGCACACGTACGCACACACGCGCACACGCACGCACACACACGCACACGCACGCACACACACGCGCACACACACGTACACGCACACGCATACAGACCGTACCGAAATTGTATCGTTTACGCCGCCGAGTAATAATATCGCTAATAACGTCACGCGTGTAACAGTTCGCGGGCCGCCCCGGGGTTCTCACGAAAACCGTTATTTCGACCGCGATAGGTACACAGCGGTTGTCCGTGCGCCAGCCCGAAGCTGCGCCGTTCGGCCTCGCGCCTACTCCCGGTGAACGAGCGAAATACAGGGAACGGCTCGCGATCGATTTCCGCCCGGAAAACGTACCGCCGGGAAGGAGATTCCGCCCGGGAAAATGGCGCGCCGGGAGAGAAGTGGCGCGGGGAAGACACCGACGACGGCGAACCGTGTTCCCTTGTTCTCCCGGCGCGGTTACGCGGCCGGCGGAGACGTCTTTCTCGCCAATCGCGGTACAACGCGACGTTCCTGCGAAATATCTTTCCCGGATTTTAATTTTCTGCCCGATACACTGTTCTCGGCGTTCTCGTTTTCCCGTAAACGTTATTCCCGGTCATAAACAATTCCGCGTTTTATCGTTTTTCACGGTGCAATGTCTTCGGTTCATGTTTTCTCGTGCTTATCACTCCGCACAACAAATCGTTGTCCGTATTACAATAAACGTTTCCGTTACTGTGCCGCGACACTGAATGGAGCGCCGGTGTACGGTCCTATTCGTCGAACACAATGTACATTTTCAAAACGAAGACACACCGGGAATATTGTTATTGTCGGTATCTCTGTTGCCCGTAGTGAATAACGCGAAACCGGAAATTAGTTCACGCGTTGGTCCGTCGTGAACTATACGATCGGAATCAGCACTACTGCCCGCGTATTATACCTCGGAGAATATTTTAGTTAATAACACTGAATATCCGCTACCTCTTCCCTTGAAAAATGTCCACGAGCAAATATACGCCGACCCTCCTCCTCCCCCCCTCTCTCCCGGCCCTAGTTTGAATATTTTCTACGTAAAACATAACGTTTTGTTGCAGAATCGGCGAATTTATTGTTTCCCGTTTATCGACTAGTGAACGCACGAGTGAAACATTACTCTGCTGGGCGGGTGTCCGACGTGCTTTGCCGTACGTCCGTTTGGAAAAAAAACCGCGTTAATCGCGTTTCCTAAAACATTAACTAATACGGAGATTTTCGACCCGCGGAAAACCGTATCTACCGAATCGTGGCAACCCGTAAAGAACGTTTAACGCGGTTTTTTTTCCAAACGGACGTACGGCAAAGCACGTCGGACACCCGCCCAGCAGAGTAATATTTCACTCGTGCGTTCACTAGTCGATAAACGGGAAACAATAAATTCGCAGATTCTGCAACAAAACGTTATATTTTAAGTTGAAAATCTCGTATTAGTCAATGTTTTAGGAAACGCGATTTACCTTGGAGTTATTAACTTGCGCGCGCTCACTTTTCCGCATACCGTACGTTTGTATGCAGTTTTCGCGTTTGGACACTGATACGATTTGCATAATTTACCGTGCGTATTATATGGAATTTATTGATTTTTTTTTTCATGTACAATCGATTATTGAATTTGTGCGCCGTACATTTTTTTCGTACGTCGAAATGTTCGCGTTCGTATATTCCACAACAATAACCGATTCATAGTATACACGTCTCATTACATTTTATTTCGACGGTGTTCACGAAACGTGTGTCCTTATTTTCGTTTAACGAAAACCGATTTTTGTACCCATACTTGCAAACACACTGTACAACATGCGTAGGCAATGAGTAATGAGTGTTATTTCTTGTTTTATTGATAACAGTAATCATTAACAGTTATAAACAATAGTATGTAATACCAAATGATATAATCAATTAATGTGAAGGCTGACAACACTTTGCCTTGGACAATTGTTTTATGTTCGGGTCGATGTTGCAGGAGAGAGGGCACTTCAAGTCCGTTACGATACCGAACCGTGTATGTACGGTTTTTATAACCGCCAATCTGGTGGTGAACTCGTGTTCACGTAAATAATCCGATAAAAATCGTAAAAGGGCTTGTAAAACTTTATTTGAAATTCGCGGCGGCGGCACGAAACTTTTTGTTTCACAAGTACCCCGGCGGGGATCGCGAGTGTTTAGCGATACGCGGTGGCCGGTCGTTATTAATTTGTCGCGTTTCCCCTCTGTTTATGTAAAACACGAAATAGTTCAGTAAATACGAATTTTACTCCGTGACGGTTTGCTCACGCCTCCCCAGCAGACTGTTCACGCTCCCGCCGGGTGGTTCGGAAACACTGCTGTAGCTGGTTTATGTGCAGAATAATACATTATTTTCGTATTTTTTCGGAACTACATTTTTTACTTTTCGTATTTTTTTTTTTTTTTTTTTTTTTTGTCTACTAATGAGACCGCATCGTTCAAACCTGGAAATACACCCATACGTATATTATATAACGCACGTCGTACTTATATATATTGTAAAATGAAAAAAAAAAATATAATAATAATAATAATAATAATAAAAAGCAATGGGATAATAGCGCGGTTAAGAGAAGACGAAATAAATGCGAGCTGACGATATTATTTCGGCGCGTCACGGGAGTCCGTAAAAGACCCGAAACCGCAAATTCCACTTAGGTGGCCCGCGTGTATGCGTACAAATAAAATATATGTTTATCATTGTCACGCTATTGTTTCCGTAATATTATAGAGTCGTATCCGTATACTATATGTAATTTTTTTTTCTTGACCTTTAGCGGGTATTCACGTGTGTTATTATTGTCCGCGTGCGTGCGCATACCTGCACGCGTATACGAGCGTGATACCAGATTCCCACGGTCAATCCGACGGGACACGACGACGAATAATATTTTGTGTGCGCATTATTATTTATCGACGACCGCACACCCTCAGCCGCCGTATACGACGAATCATAATAGGTACGCTGACTCTGAAAAGGAACGACCCAACACCCAAAACGCGTGGAGTTTTCCTGTACCGCTGCCGGTATAAAGCGGACAGGGCCGCGGAGACAAGGATCCCCCCGGCCCCGGACTAGACGAACTAGTCCCTCCTGGTGTCAAATATTCAACTGCCGCCAACGCCCGGCGCCGTGCGTTATAAAACGTGCGCAACGAGAAGAAAGTTTAAGGTCCAGGCATATTTTACGGTGACGTATTTGAGGGAACTTTAACCGGGAAGGTAATTTTTCGATTTTCCCAAGAGTTTTGCCAAAAATATGAAAAAACCGGGAAAAACGAGAAAATCGGATCGATATTAAACAAATATATAATGCTTATTTAATTATTTTACCATAATATGACGTGTGTGTATATATATATATTGTTGACACAGCATCACTATCAACTGAACTCCGTTCAGAATCGTTTTTTTCGTTAGCTTTGGTTGATCGTTGCTTACAGTTACACAGTGAATTCTCTTCTGTATCCTACCTTTTCAATTTCCCACCTACAACAGTGACTGCACCCGTCTCCATTATCCTAGTAGAGCTTTTTTTCGTGTGTGCATTATTATCTATTAGATGTCTAACCTATAAACTATTTATTTTTTTTAATTACCTAGGAGGGGATTTGTAAAAAAAAAAAAAAAAAATGATAACTGTTGCTTTTTTTTGTGGGGGGCCGAGCACATCCCTCGTATAATATCGCGCGATATTCTGCGGTGCGTTACAATTGTTTACAAACTGTTTGAGCTCCGGATACGCCATCGAGGTGTAAGTTGCACGGAAGTACAAATCTAGAGCGCCCCCACCCCCACCCCCCCTCCCGCTTCCCTACCGCCGGTCGGGCCTGAAAACGAATAACAGTACGGTCGCGACGGCGAGACTTTGACGGGCGGCTGGACGAACGCGATTGCCGTTCGGGTTTTCGCGCCGGTGATAATAACAACCGCGATGATCGCGACAATTCAACGGCACGTACCCGCACTCTGCGCACGCGTACCGCCGTGGCCGCGTGTAGATACGAAAACACGAACGACGGCGACGCGTTATTGTATCGCGGAAGTGCCGTTGCGCTCCCTTTCGGGAAGGCGCGCGCGCGCGGTTCGCAGGGGACGATTTAGTGACGACGGCTCTGTGCGCCGGCAACATACGTGCGTAATAATAAACGGACAATGACGGGCTCGCCTTGCACGCTATAATCGCGCGGATTTATGCGGATTCCGTCTGTTATAACAACAACGCGCGCGTTCCAGTTGTTGTTTTTTTTTTTCCCCTCCTCCCGCCCGGTCGTTAATATCGTAGAATAAACACGTTTCGAACGGAAACAGAAGGAGAAGAAACAGAAGAATAAGTCACCGTCGAGTGGTTTCCGCGACCTTTTTTTTTTTTTGTTGTTTTTTTTTTTTCATTCGTCCGTTTGTTCGTCTCCCGTGTCCCGTATTACAAACGGAGTCGACTACTACGCCGGTCCCGTAAATAGCACGGATACAACACCGTGGAAAAATACGACAATAATAGGTATTAGAACAACCGGCGAAGTGTGACGACAACATATGCCTGTTGTGCGTAACACAATAATACCGCGGGTTTACTCGGAGAGATTTTACATTTTAATTTTTGCGTACGAATTCGCGCGTGTATTTTCTATATTCTCTCTCAGCGAATTCCGATAACACGACGTTCATATTGCCATTCGTATCGTGATAAACCGTGATTTTCAGATTCTGAGCGCGGTGAGGAATGCGGTTTTACTGTGACGCTGTGTGTGTTTTTTTTCGTGAACATCTTTTCTCTCGCAAATCCTGCTCCGACCAACGAGTGTATAGCGTTTTTTCTAAAAAAAAAAAAAAATAATAATAAAAAAATTTCTTCAGTCGGTGAATTGGTAGAGGTAATTTTGTTATTTTCACTGTAGATTATAATTCTTTACAATTTTGAATAACCGAAAGAATTAACGGCACTAACGGTTTCGTTATTTGTAATTATTTTCATTCGTTATTGCGATCAGGTTTGAAATAATAATCGAAGTGGCCTGGATATGTCCACGGAATAGGTGCACACTGTATTGGCCTTTTTCAGACGCGATCAAATTTCGTTTTTAAATTCCGGTTTTCCGGTTTGTGCGCGCGAAATCGTGTTGGCCCGACAGAAATGCTTGAAAATTAACCCCGAGGTTCATCGTTTGTTCAACAGGTGGTACATAGGATAATCTCCGGGAAAAAAAAAAAAATCCCCAAAACAACAATACCGGCAATAATAATAATATTTAAAAAAGTTTACAGTCATATCTCAATTTTATTTCTACGTATAAATTACCGTCTAATCGTTGTCATCCGTATGTTTTTTTTTTTTTGGTCTATAGATTACCTAACGAAACAACAAACATTCCGGCGAAAAAAATCTTTCGAACAGAACCGTGTTATCTACTCTCTCGGGGGATGCCCGCATAGCTATGACATTTTAGTCGCCGAATATCCGTACGCCATATTCTATATATTCGTAAAAACAACGGCCTTGCGAAACGTGTATTATCAACCGGACTTCGGTCTGCAGAACCGCGTAAATAACGTCGGCGCCGAACTCGGGGTACGAGGTCGAGCGACCGCCCGATCGGATTATTCAACGGCGGACGGGACGGTGGTGCTTGTGGCGGGAAACGCGCGTGCGCATAGTGTCGGCGGTGTTTCTAGAACTGTACACAACTGCATAAAAAAAATAGTGCCGGCGAGTAATGTGCGATTTATTAACATAACCCGAAGAAGGCCAACGCACGCAACACAGTCGCGCGCATCGCCCCGTTTGCCCGTGTATTTTCAAGCGGCTTCGGCCGCCACTGCGTCCCGCCTCGCTGACCCTCTCGCGGCCGACGCGCTTTCCGCAGCGTGTACCGACGGGTTCCCGGGGCGAATATCTCCGGAATAAAAAATAAATCCCGGGGAGATTATTATTATTGTTATTTTTCTCCGGCGGATTACCGCGTACCGGCTCGTTACCGCATACCGCGGCACCGCTGCCCCGGTACGCGCGGCGGTCCGCCCGAACACCCGCGACATTGTGAACTAACGCGCGCGCGTTACGCGTTTATTGTGTCCGGGCGGTCGGTGTTACGGGCGTCATCGCCGCGCGGCCGCGGAACGACCGCGAGACCGGTAAAACACAATGGAACGGCGGCGGCGGCGGCGACGCGTTAGAACCGATTTCGCTTGAACCCCCGCAAAAATGTTTTCCGAGCGCGCGGCGCGACCGCGCAACCCTTCGGAACCGTCGCGGCCACGCGCGCGGCGAGCAACAACAGCGCCGCGACGCGTTTGACGATCGAAATACGCGGGGGCCAATTAGCGGGAATTCCGACGGGGATTTAGGAGACGGTAATTGGATTACGGACGAATTTTTTTTTTTTTTTTCCACGCTCTTTCATTCTTTCCTTTCCTCCTCTCTCGCCTCCCGGCAGTGGCGTACGGTTACCGCTGTTTGTCGGGGGCGCGCGCGTCGGGACGGTGTCGCGTATCGCGTGCGCGCGCGCGCGCGCCCGCAGGTAGGCACCGGCCGAACGCGTAACGAATTCAACGGACCGGGGCGCGGCGTATCCCACGCACGCATGAACGGACGCCGAGGGATTATCGCGCGTTTTCGCGGAGTGCGTGCTGGGCCGGCAACAATAACGGCGTTGAAAACCCGGTGCGATTTCAATCGGCGCGCAACGTCGAGATCTATCCCCCGGTGGGGGGGGTCACACAATCGTTTTCGCCGGGTCGCCGGTGGACCGAGCTTAATTCGATTACGCGTCGCGGAATGAGCGGATTTGACGGCCGATTGGGCCGGCCGGCACACCGTACGCCGCGGCCGAAACAAGGGGCCCGCCGCGGCGACGCTCTCGAAAGCCGCGTTCTCACGGAGCCAACGGGCCGCACGTAATTCGCCGGTTCTTAATTTGATTGCGTTTTTTTTTTTCTTTCGCTCCTTCGCCGCCGAAGTACATTGTCGCCGCGTAATACGTCGTTGAATTGGTTCTCTCGTAATCGAAAAATGAAAAAAAAAAAAAAAAACTTTATTCCGACCCGTACGCCGCCGCGCCGGGTGGGCGCTTATCGCGCGCAATACATTCCGTACGGTTATTTCGTACGAATAACAAAACTCGATCGATACACACTTGTGTATTTTTCTTCGAAATCGACGGTTTTTTTTTTTGTTTGTTTGTTTCTCTTCTCGCCGTCGTAACGTTATTCCTCGCGTTGTTTTACCGTTGTCGGTGTGCGCGGACCAGCGCTTTTGCGGATATCGTACGCCGTACGGTATGTAATGAAAATCACGAAAATGATAAAAAAAACAATAATAAAATCAACGAAATCGCTTGAAAAAAAAAAGGTTTAGTTGTTCTATAGATTCTCCAGCGGAGTAAGGGCTTAAATAAATTGTGTATGATTTTCGATACGAGTAAATTAAATTTTGGAAACGCACTAATGCACTGATGTCCGATACACTTCTTTTTGAAAACCCCTCGCGCTTATAGAGTTTAGACCGAAACACGATACATGTGTACACCCGCGCCAATACTGTTGGATTGAAATCGATGTAAAAATCCATCGTTTTCGCGACACGCTCAGGTCTGGCTCGACCAGACGCGCTCGTCTCGGCTGTACGACACTCGGAAGCGAGAACAACCGAGCACAGCTCTCTTGATACAATCACAGTGTTGTATTATTAATGCACCGTGTGTATTTCTCATGTGTACAAATTGCCCAGCGGTGTAGCCGCCGCGGGGGCGTACAACTGCAACGTAGCCAAATATTAACTGTGTGCATGCATATACTAGGTGTGCCGCGACCGGCGTTGCCCGTGCCGATTTCGGCAATGTGTCGGCCGCGTCGGAGAATGGGATGAAAACGAACAGGCGGAGAACGGGTGGTACACATTCGGCGGACTAAACGCGTTGCGCCGTGCGATTTTAACAGCGTGAATAATAGTAACAATAATAACAATTATGATAGTTCTCGTTTCCGTAACGCCGATGTAACCCTTGAACAGACAAAAAGTAAACAAACAGGCGATATTAGAAAATTCGTACCAAATATACCTAAAAAAAAAAAAAAAGCCCCTAGTTTACCCCCTCGGGGGTCGAATTTTCGAAAATCCTTTCTGAGCGGATGCCCGCGTCGTAACGGCTATCTGTGTGCCGAATTTCAGCCCGGTCCGTCCAGTGGTTTGGGCCGGGCGACGATGAATCCGTCGGTCAGGACATTAGTTATTTTATGTTTAAATATATAGAGAGAGAGAGAGAGATAAAAGATATATTACCGAACAATTACTATTCAAATTATTTAACATTTTCATGAAACTATGTTGGATTTATAAATTGAAATTAAAAAGTACAAATATAATACCTGTACCATATGTATCGCGTAAATGGAAATTTAAAATTCATACGTAATTCTCGATGTAATAACGTGCGATTGTTTTCATCTTTTCAAGAAAATATAAACATAATCAGTCCGTCGAAAATTCAGTCATACATCCGGTACGGCGATAAAGAGAAGAATTTCTATTTTATAAATAGGGACAAAGGAATTATATTTTTCAGGGTGCTTTAATATGTTGTTACGCCACTGATATTGGCAGTGCGTAGCCGGAATTTTTAAATTGAGGGAGGGAGAAACCAAAGAAAAAAAAAAAGGCAACCAGAATAAAACTATAATAATTTATTTTATTGACATAGGTTACAATAAAATTTAATTTTAAAAAAATATTTATTTCCATCATCTAATAAAAGGAGACATCTGTGAGATTTTGTACGTTGCGATTTGTAAAATAAAAATGATAACACGGCATTGAAACAAATTGAAAAGAACACCATTATGACTGTTTTCAAAATTTGTGTTCTGCAGTTTATATGTAAAAACAATACGGTGAATAAGGTGTGGGGGGCAAATTACATTAGCCCATAGGCCATAGCCCCTGATTAAGACATTAAGATGCCGCGGGGTTTCAAACGTTTCAAACGAGGCCCCCGAAAGGAATAATACGAAACGCACACAAATGAAAGTGCGAGGGGAAATCGAAAAATGACCTCGTCAATACACCTGCAGCTAGATAAAAAGCGTTTGCTTTCAAGAAGGTCTCTGAACGTGAAAATCGCATCGAGCTCACCGGTAAATGGGTATTGTCAACGTAGACGGAAATAACAAATAAAGACGCAAACATTGTTAATGACGATGTGTTTTGACGAAATGAAAAACGAATGCGAATAAATATATTCAGTTGGGTACAGTCTCGGCTGTGCCTACCCGGGAAAACCCCCCCCCCCAAAAAAAAAAAACAAAATCGGTAAATTATCAATTTAGTACACAACAACGTGTCGTACTGTAGGTACGGTATGGTGTGTAGTAGTCGTTTAGAAATTCCCGATTGAAACGCCGAAATGCGTTCAGAAATTAAAAATAACGGTGCAATATATTCAATCGTGAGTTGCAAGTCTTTTAAACGGTTATAATAACGACCGTTGAAAATTACGCGTCCGTTCATTTTTGTGTTTTTACATAATTTCCGATATTTATTATGTTATTATATCGTATTGTTGAAACTATTATGCGTTGTTTATACTGACATTTTAATGTTTTGGATTTTTTGGTTGTTTTTTTTTTTTACACCGGGATTCGCTTACCCGCGCGCCCCGGACGCGGAGTGTCTTTGCTGCCGACTCGCGGAGGATGCGGCTGAACACATCGCTGTCTTCGGCCGGCCGCGCTGCGAACCCCGCTTCCGGTCGGCATCCGGGTCGCTCGTCGGCGGCACGGGTGTCGCTCCTG